ACGGTTTAATGAAATGATCAATGTATTGAGAGGCAGGTTCAGAGATGGAGTCTATAGCACTGATGATGGGTCGGCCTGGTTGTTGTTTTTACGTTGGTTGTCTGCATACTCAATATCTAGCAATACTTCCTGGATTCAGTTTAATTCTTGTGATAAAACAAGTTTCTCAAAAGTAATTTCAAACTAATTGGTGAAATGATCGTCAGCAAGCCAGTCAGCTGAGAACTACTTGATAACAGTTTGATTAACTCATTTATCAAGTAGAAATACTAATCATCTGCTGGTTAATGTGAGGATTTACTGCTTTCTGTTTCATTGTTTCTCTTTAAAGCGATTCACTTTAAACACATTCCTTTGAGCTCATATTATGAGTAAATCAATCAACATATTCATCGCCATTTAAATGGTGGCTAGATGCAGCCCTGATCATATCGCTCAATGTAAGATGCAGCCCATGGTGTTTGATAGCTTATCGACGAAAATTGACATTTCTGCGTACGCTGACAAATTACTCTGAGGTTGGACACAAGGCTCTTAATTGCAGCATCATTAAGAGAAAGTGAACATTTGACAGCGTTTGAGGAAGCGCTTATGGATTCGGAGGAAGGGTCCAAAGGTCAGAGAAGTAATGGCATATGAGAAGTTTCGGGGGGGGGATACATGTCGTACTACTTTAGGCATCACGTTACCGTGGCCAATGGGTCTGCAGGAAAAGAGTAAAGGCAGGACAGGAGAAAGACAGACAGCAAAGAGAGGGATACGGGGGCAGACAGTGGGGGGTGGGAGGCAGCTCCTTGGAGGCCCAATATCACCAATATCAGGTTTTTAACAAAACAAAATATGAAACTGGAGCATGTGGTATGAAATCTGTCCTTTGATTTCTGAATAGTGAATTATTTAGTAGTCTGAAAGCCCTTCTACCTACGGTAAGGCCTATTGCCAAGGGGCATAGTGAGTCATGTAAATGTAATACTGCCTAATCCCAATGAAAGAGACACTGATATGAAGTCATACTCAGCTTGGTTATCAAGTCCAGTCTCACTGCTTCGAGAGACATTGAGATGTTCTGACTTTTATTTTTTCCTCCCAAGCGTGACAACTTTTTGTGTTAAAGGTGTGTCTCATTTACGGTTAGATTCATATATTTCAGTTGTAAACACTCAAAATGGATCAGAGATAATCCTCAAGCTACACTGGAAGCAAAACTAAATTGAGTAGAGACTGGCCAATCTGCTGGCATATTCATTGGTTTAACCATAGACTATGTAAAAGTGGACTTAGTCATTTGTTTGTGTACTACAGTTTTGAAGCCTCGAGTTTGGCATTTCAGTCGTCACTAACTTAAATCTGTTGGTACCAGAAGTAACTATATTTGGACGAGGGTGGCACCACAGAGGGGCAGGGTCTGGCAAGGCCAAGCACCATTAGCAGCTAACGCTAGCTAGCTTTGTTGGCAAGGTGAATCCGTGAACCACGTTATCTGTGATGCTAATTTTGGCGAGGCAGAAAAAACTTAAAAAATAAACAGCTGACTCTTTTTTTAGAACAACCGAATGTGGAACGCCGTAGCAAAGAGATCTTGGTGGCAACCTGTCGCTCAGGAGCCACGCCCTTAATTATGAGCCTTCATAAAATTTAAATTAGTTTTAATGAGTTTATAAGAATTATTCAAACATTCACCACCCTACAGTTGTCAAGAACCAGGAACTTACAGAAGCCAAATCATTTTTGGTACCAGTCTGTAAAAGTGTTTATGTCTGCTGCAAACTTGGGCACTTTAAGATGGGGTCGAAGGCAAATTGACCCCCATGCATTGGAGCCTTCCTCAAGTGACCAGGAACTGCAGTTTATGGCACTTTGCGTTGGCTTCATTATTCAGACCGGGAGGTTTCAGCTTGGGTTTATCAAAAAAGGTAACAGAAGCAGCAGCACAGGTATATTTTTGATAATAATAATGAAACTTTATTCATAGTAAGACGAGAAGATCGATACAACTGTCATTATAGTTGGAGCCACCAGTGGTTGCCTTCATTGTGATGAGAAAAAAAATCCAAGAATGTTACAGCGCCTTGCCAGGAATTAGTCTGGCACATAATATCCCGTAAAATGGCAAATAGCATTTTTTACACTTTTGTATGGATTAAATAAACATGATAATGTTAATGAGTGAGCTTCAGAGCTGCTGGTAGGCAACACAGCTAGGCTAGCTGTTTTCAGTCTTTATGCTAAGCTAATCAACTCCTAGCGTCATATTAATTCACATGAGAGTGACATCAGTCTACTTCTGAGTAAGAAAGCGAATAAGTGAATCATTTTCCCAAAATGTCAAACTATTCTTTTAAGATACATTTTAAAATGAGTTAAACACATATTCTAACCATAGACTTTTAAGAAGTGGACGTAGTCATTGTGACATCGTGCCATTATGAAGCCTCGAGTTCGCTGAGTTCCCGTCGCCATCTTGGCTATTTTGCAACCAATGAACAGAAGTTACTTTTTTGGAATGCAGAGGAGTGACGTCCGGCACAGCTCTGGTAGTGGCAGCAACCTGTCAATACCAGTAAGTACTCTCTGCTTTATGGTCTGTTTGACTCTAAATGAACATCATGCTGTATTGAAGAAGACTTGAAACTAGAGATTGAGACCATAAACTCATGTTTACAACTTTCTTTTTGCATAGACTTCTATACAATCTGACTTCTTTTTGCAACCAGAATCCGAGGTTGCCGCCTGTTTCTGCGCGATTCCAAGAATCCTAAAGTCAACAGGCTTCAACTGCAAAGGCCTGGCCACTCTCAGCAAAACATGTAACATGTTGAGGGTAGTAGTAGTGGTAATGAAATAGATGTACAGTACATAGTCTTGCATGGAAAATGGCAGACACTGTGACCAATTTCAAATGCCAATGTAGGTGCATGAGTCATACCAATTGGATTCTGAATCTGAGTGTTCCTTATTTCTAAATCTGTGAGGAGTACTGTATGCTCCAGGCAGGATCATAACACCACTTTCTTGCTTATGCATCATGACTGGCAATCTTTATATTTCAGTCCTTTCAGACAGATTTTCTTCTTGTTTGCACAGGTGAGTCCAAACTCAACACTTCTGACTCACATAAACTTTCAAGTGACACAAGTGATTTTTATGGAACAAAGGCCTCTGCTGTAATCTACGCAGTGTCAGGATAGACTGATGACATGTTAGATTAGTTGTAATTGATGACAGAGCGCTACTCCGACCTGTGCCGGGGAAGCCAGTAATTATATTAGATGTTGAACCACCAGTGTCCCAGAGGGAACCCTACTTGACTCCAGAGATGGAACAATATTTTTCCGTAGTTTCAGACATGCTGAAACAATTTACAGGCTCATGATTGAAACTGACTCTCAACCAACCGGCATCTCTGCAAGAGACAAGTGTGAAAATAGGTATAGGTCCCACATTTATAAGCACCTGTTGGTGGATGAGTGTCTGAATCTAGGCTACCCTTCTTCCACCAAAATGAGCGCAAAAATGCATGGTTTTGTTTTATTTTTCTGATGTGTTCAATGTCAGGCAGGTGCAGGAAAATAGGGTTAGTAAACAAAAAAAGCAGCATGGACGCCAATGAAAATATCTGTGAAAATCGACATTGATGATGATTCAGTTCCATTCGTGAATTAGGAACTGAGAAGTCATACGTATATGATTTCATGTGGAGGAGGAAACTGTATACTGATAACTGATATATTTGGTTGCATGTGTACTTATTTGCAATATTTCAGGTTGTCCGGTGCAATTTTCAGCACTATGTAAAAATTCCCTATTCTTTACTTTTCTCTGTTTTGGAGCATGATGACTAAACCATTTAGTCTGATCTGTATTATACACAATGGCAAAGAATAGGCCTGGATGTGTGTGTGTGTGCAGAAGTAGTCCATATTGATGGCAGATTGTGTGTCATTGATGCAAGGAGACTCCCATGGGACGATGTGATGAAAGAGAGAGAAAGGTAGAGATTAAAAACACTGACAAGAATCGCACACACACACCATCATTGAACCAGATCATAGACGTTGAGTAGAAAGGGAGGGTGGGAGATGAGAAGATAAATGCTGTAAATGGAGTTAACGACCACAAAATGGGAGGAGAGTGAGATAGAGACCAGGAGAGACAAAGACATAATTGATTTAGAAAGAGTGGGGGGGGAAATAACATAAATGAGAAAACTGTGACTAAAGTGTGGTGGCTTTGAGGAGAGCATTTCAATTCTGTTTTATACGTTAATAAATTATAACAATTGTCCCAATCCCTGTCGATTTCATTTACTATATGTTCACTTCAACACGTCACATAGCATCATGCATGCAATGAAGACGGTCAGTCCAATGATGGGTGAGCGGAGTGCAGCAGCACCTGATTATATGTTCTTTAAAGTAGTTTGCAAATTGCACGTTACAATCTATTTTCTAATATGCTACTGAATTTATCTTTCGCTTTGCCGGCAGTTCATCACGTGATGATACAGTGGTGGAGAATTTAAGATGAAATTTGTCAATCATCTTTGGACCAACGCAATATCAACATTAGTTTTGGGAGACGATCTCCTTTGGAGGGTAATTTTACCTGTTTTGACCATTAACAGATTAGCATATAAAAAAATGAAGTACATGACATTGATATGGATGGTCCTGCACTAAGGGAGCGCTGTCGAAGCATTTTTATCTGAATTTCAATTATAGATTTTTTTCCAAAGTAGAGAAAAAGCATGAATATACATTAAATACATATAATGATACCGAGATTTGGCAATGTTTTATTTCAACAAATATGTATGTTGATCTCCCTCTTGCCTCTCAAAAAAAGTGGAGGAGCAACATCATTTATAGCCTTACTTTCAAAATTTTGATTTTATTCCTTATGTATTATACTGTTTACAAATATAGACATTCTCTAACTTTCCCTGAATAGGTGGTGTTTGAAGATAAGACAACAAAAGACATAACAAGAGGACACAACTGTTCAAGGATGAAGTAACTTTTAATGAGTCAGAATCATTCACAGAGCCACCTTAAAAGTTCACCACATCTCAGCTTTTTAAAAAGACATTATACACGTTTTCAAATGATTCTAATACATAGTTATAAATGATAGTATGGAGACACAGATATACAACACTTTAGAGAGAGGGAGAGAGAGAGGGAGAGGGAGGGAGAGAGAGAGAGAGAGAGAGGACACTGACTTATTATTGAGTAATGATAGCTTTAACATATTCTGCTTAAATACTTTGTATGAGAAACATGATGCAAGGAAAGCGGGGATGAAAGAGTACATGAGTAAGATTGATTAAATACCATGGAGAAAAAAAGTAATGCTCAAAATAAAGTACTATAAATATGATGTCATGAGCCAATAGAGTGACACGAAACACAATTAATGCCCCTAATGCCAACTGAGACTCTCAATGAAAGCTTTAAGCTGTGACCATACAGGACACATTTAGCAGTGTGATGAGTCAGTAAAGAATATTTCAGAGTTTGAATAAGGCAAGTCATTTTACCATTTAATAGCTAGACTGAATATGTATTGCAGATATCCTTGATTCAGATCAGATGTCCACAGTAACATTCTTCTTAACCACAATTTTTATTTCAGATATCCACAACTTCATTCTGTCTTTGAAAAACTTTGGATATTTGCAACAGAATTCCTACTAGGAAAAAACCCCAACAAAATATCATTACGGATATCCAAAATTGTCGTGACAAAAAATGCATTGTGGATGTGTCTTCTGGGTTTCCAAAAAGATAATAGGCCAAAATGGCTCACTTTAGTTATGACTAGTAACAATTGGATTGTAGATATTGAAGGTATTCCTACTCAGAATTATATTGCAGATATCCAGACTGTTATCAAAAATATATTTGAGGATAAATGAATGTTGTATTTTAAAGAAAGAAAGAATGAAATTACAGATATCTGCAATATATATCCAGTCGAACTATTACATTTTAAAACGGCCACTTATACTCTTTTAGGATTTAAAGATATCTTGAATTTAGTTTTGACTGGAACAATCAAAGTTGTGGATATCTTCAAATGCAACTTCTACTAGTAAGAATATTATTGTGGGTAGCTATCTGACTTGAATACAATCTTGACTAGGAGAAATGCCATTGCCGATAGGAGTGTGATTCAATTGGAGGTTGAGGATTAGATGCTCCTCTCTGTTGCTGCCTCATCTTGCAATTTGCGGGTGATACCACGACTGGGATTTTGCAATGCAGTCTTATGGGCAATTCATACTTTCCAAGTCTCCATGTCCGCGCAGAGCCCAATAGCCTGTACGCATTGCAAGTGCGCCTACTGTGTATACTCCAGTTTCATTCCACACTCCAGTGCAGCTGGTGGGGTACGCACCTCTAGTTGGTTTGCCAAGAAGAAGATAACAAAACGGATGCCTGTTTTAAAGTAAGGTTGCGCGAAGAGATCCGGTGTTCCCCACAATTGAACAACCAAATAACTAATGACATTGTAGTATGAATGGAACCGCATGCGCAATGGAAAGTTTGTCCGAGGCTTTACAGGCCAGCTATGATTCAAAAGACTTGGAGTTTGTGACAAAAAATAAGAACTTACATAGTAACCACTGTAAGATTTTCCGTGAATATCTATATATGAATTGCAAAAACACTTCAGTGGGCAAATTCTGGTGTATTTGCGTCACAGTCTAATCTTGAGAGCACAATGAAGGCCGGTCTAACGTATGCCTTACATATCTTTGAGAGACGGACCCCAGGGGTGTGAGCACACGCTAAACTACCATTATGCAAGGCCCTTAGGACTACAAACACTGCCCGTGTACTTTTCTCTCAATTGATTGTAAACCTAAAAACATTAGAATAAAGGTGCTTCTCCCCAGCACCTAATAGACATTAGTAAAAACCTGACTTCCTAGAGGACATCCAGAATAAACATTCACAGTGAGAAAGATGCAATATACCGTACTGATCCACCACATGTGTGATTCTACATTCTCCAACAGAATTTTTCAGTAGCATAAAAGACAAGAAGCTGTGAGTTGTTGCAGGAGATTCCTGTCCCTGCTAAATCGGAATTATTAAATTATGGAATATGGCCGTTTAATATAGTTACAGTTAAATCAGAAAACAGCCACTCATAATTAAACTAGCAATGGTATCGTACAGTAGTTCTTGAAAGGTCTTAGAAAGAAAGAGGCTGGGAAGGTTTACACTCTGGATGAGGTTTACACAAGCTGTAAGATAAATTTGGCCCTATTTATTCCTGGCATTGGGGTCGTAATTCCTACATGAATGTGTAAATTAGTAAAACATGAGGCCGCACACAAAAGCCTTGGAATCTGATTTAGCTATAATAACAGCCAGTTCTGATTCCCAGGGTGTCAAATACCGATACTTTGTCACGGCCCTCGACGTCTGATACGGCGCATAAGGCCCCCTTCAGCATCTGTATGAGACGCACCAGACTTTCAAGTAACCACAATATGATCCCAACCGCTTCATTATTAGACGATCTGAGAAAATGCTCCGGGAGTGTGATAGCGTAGTATAAAGACTGAAAAAGCCACAAAGGGACGGGAGGAACAAACAAACACAGGACTTTCAACCAGGAAAGCAGTGTTGGTGTTGGAAAGTTTTCCCGTAATTTTGTTACGTTGTTTGCGTTTTAGGCAATTTAGTAATTTTAATCACAACCATGAATTTTTCTAAATCAAACTGGTTTAGTTGCCTGAACCTAAGCAAGGGTTTTTGTTTAATATCATGACGTCAACCATGTGTTTACTGCGACTGTGTGCTGGGCTACCCAATTGTGTTATAAAGTGATGACTTGGAATGAGAACATGTTGAAGTTTGCATCTGCTCAATCTCGATAACCTTTTATCTCCATTACGACTTTAATGTCAGGTGAAAATTTTGAGTTAAATTATTTTAGAACAAAGGTGCTTTTGAGCGACTAGTTCTGAGACATTGACATCAGTTACATGACAATCAAACAACACTGAATAGTATGACAGTGGCTTACATGTAGCTGGAGCAGCTATCAAACCCTGCTAACCCTTTCTTAGTCTCTTTCAGCCTTGTGACCCATTCTTTACCCTGACACAGATGACACATTAATACAGTTATGGCTATAATTTAGGACAAAAGTTGAGCAATGGCTTGTCATTTTGCTGTTAAGTTGACTCAACAACAGCATAGTATGTGTTCCATTTGTCAAGTTAATGGATAGAGCACTGCTTTTTAATTGCTGGTTGGTGTCATTGAGCATGGACGGATACAATTTGTATTGATTGTGCCAGCTAATCCGTGGCCTCAGACACCCAAACCAAACTCATTCTTTGCTCACTGGCCCAATGTTTTTGCCTTTGACAGAATATCAAACAATCCCATGCCCTGATTTGTCGATACTGGTGAGATTAGACCATTGTCCGTAAATGGGTGTATTAAATCATTACGTTTTACGTTTCTCAATCACCTGAATCAGCAACTCAAATACATTTTAAAGACAGGATCCCAAAATGCCCAAAATAAAAGATAAAAGATTTTGTGGGAGCTAGGCTAGCAGTTTCCCCCAGCTTCCACTATTTATCCTAAATAGGCTAAACACACCATTCGTGGACATGCAGAAATAAAATTAATAAAAAATTTCTGACTGAGTGGTCAATGGCAAACAAAGTAAATCCCAAAATATTGAACTGTTTGTTTAAAATTTAAGAATGTCCTTGATCCTAGAAAAGCACTTGAACTCTCAGCAGATTAACAAAACACCGGCCCAATAACTTAACATATTTCTTCTACTGTCCTGACTCATACATTACCATCAAATGAGCAACTAAAAGAATCATGAACAGAAATGATTTTAATGTAGATTATCTCGTTAAAATGTTGAAACGACATCGTATGACTAAATAAAGTAAATAAACAGTAATTACAACTAGAAAGAAAGATTATCAAAATATCTATTGGCTTTCACTGAACCATATAACAACACATCAAGAAGCTAAAAATAATCAAACTCAAGAAAAGGAAATAAGTTAACATATCTCAAGACGTAGAGATTTACAGTATATACATTCTTTTTAAAAAGATTGTGTTCATTGACTGGTAGCTCCGTTGTTCTCCTTTCAGTTCAGACTTTCTGTTGCCAAGCAGCAGTTGTTAGTCGCTGACGTCAGAGTGGATCCAGGTATGCAACACAACACAAAAAGGCTTCTTTTAAGTAATCCTTGAAGGCTTCCTCCCAGCCAATTGCTTGTCTTTTTGTGGCGATCAGTTCTGTCCTACCCAGTGGCAGAATATTTTCGAATGGCTTTGGAGCATGGCAGAGGTCCACTCTTTGATTTGAAATAAAAAATAAATAAAAAATATATAGAATATGTATTTTTTTCTTTCTTGAAAACAGAAAATGTAACTTTACCTTGGGTAGTTCAACGTTCTTGTCAAGCTGCAAAGGGTACAAAAAAAAGCCTTAATTTTTGCTTTTCCTCCCAGGGGTTCATTTTTTTTCTGTATAATTTTCAACATTTTATTCTTGTTTTTGTGTTGGTTTTTTTGCAATACATAGAGTGCTGAAAGTTTGTAAGAAAAACAAGGAAGGTTCACAGCTAGTGTACATTTTTTAACCAAGTAAACAAAATGTAAAAGTGCTCTTATTTTGAAAGACTTTTTTTTGTTTCCAGTGTTTAGAAAGAAGTAGGAGGCACTTAGGTCCATCTTTATGGCGACAGACAGTCACTCAGGCCACACTTCCACGCTCAGGATTGGAAGGTCCGGTTGGGCTCTTGCAAAAGTGAACAGCTCAGTGAGTCCAGGAAAAGAAGGTGTATATATGAAGGTTTGGCAGATGAAAACACTGAAGCATTGGACTAGCACTAAAGAACACAACGGCTGCTGCACAGGACATGTTTGATTTATGCATGTTGTTCTTTCTTGTTGACCCACTTCCTCTGTTTCAATGACCAGTGTTGAAAAAATGAAATCTGTCCTACAGATTGTCAAATGAACAGTCCATTCCATCAACGTTTAGCAAGAACTGCCTTGTCCTTCTTTCACAGATTTATGTCTGGAATGTGGTGTTTTACTTCGTCAGCATTTTAGCTTTTTTCTTTGGATTTCGTATCTGGACAATTCCGGTTGCAGCCACAAGGATGCTGCCAGTGTCAGGAGTAGGCATGCCAACAGAGGTTCAAAAAATGAAATGATGCAGCACTTAAGTTCCTCTATCCAGTTTTAATAGGAACCATCCACCAAAGATTATTAGGAGCAAACACCTGTCTCACACCCCAATTTTCACCCTCACGGATTTACTTAACAGTACTTCCGAACTGTGGGGGTCATGAAGATCTTGCAAAACGTTTGCCATAAACACTCAAGTTCTACACGAGGGGCATTGAGTCCAATCTGGCCAAGCACTGCTGTAAGGGTATAGAGAAATATACAAGCCTGGGCAAGATATCTTGGAACACAAGAGCTTCCATTTTTGTTTAAAATAACAGCTCTTTCTTTAGATTACTCTGTGCAGGTCAACCTTCTGAACTTCTACATTCCACAGTAGAAGTCAAGTATGGTTTACTGTGTGAGGACCAGGCAAGAGTACAAGCCAAATGAGGCCTAGCTATTTAGATGGCTCCAATTTAGGGTTTTTGAACCATGTTGAACCATTGCCTGACTTACCAAGGGACACAGAGAAATCCTTGTTATGGTGAGGTCAAATAACGTAGGACAGGATTTTTTAAATCGAGCCAAATTCAGCCAGATTCTACCAGGCTACATAAGGCTTCATCAAGATAGAACCAAAACTGCTTTGATTTAGACAGAGTGAAATGGGGATCACATAGGACATGATGGTACCTAAAGCATTCGGATAAGAAAATCAACAATACCAGAGCAGTACAATCAGGGAAATCCAGTTCAGTCCAATTTGATGCAATCCAATCTTCATAGTCTTTTAGTCACGTGTTCATTCACAAAAGGAGCAAGACTGGACCTAAGAAGCCTCGGCTCAACCCTTTAGGTAAGGTTCAAGACATTTCCTTTGATTATAATGCGATGCAATGCAATCCAGTTCATTCCAATCCAGTTAAACACACTTTACTCCACTTTAGTTTGTTCATCCCAATACTTATATGTCAGGCAGTTGGATGCAATACAATCCATTTCTGATTCCAATCCACATGGTTCCATCTCAGACTATGCTGTGAGTCCAGGCCAGACTTCCACTCCAAGGCAATCCATTTCCTTCTAATCCTGTCTACTCATTTGTATTCCAGGGAAGATCTAGTCCAACCCAAAACGCATCCAATTCCTCTTCCCTCTTATTCATTCCTATCCCAGTATGTCCAGATAGACCGGCGTGGCTTTCATCAGAGTGAACACTATCTTCTGAATGTCTTTGATGTTAAGACGCTGCTGCGGCTCCCTCTGCCAGCAGCCCAGCATCATATCGTAGACTTCTTTGGGACAGAGCCTGGGCCGCTCCAGTACCCTGCCCTGAGTGATGCACTCTATCACCTGGGAAGACAGAAAGACGCACTGTTAAACAGGAAACATATTGCCTTCTTCTAAAGAAGTATTGGTTATGCAATTTAAAGGTCACATGTCGTGCAACACACATTGGCTGCTTTGCAGAATGTGTCATTTGACCGGACGCATCACACAGACAGAAGAAGTCTTGGTACAGTAATCAACATGTACCAATCCAGGAAGGAAATGTTGATAAAACTGCTGCTTTTCTGGAGAGTTGAAAAACATTGATGGGAAAAAAACCTGCAGTTGAAATAGTGACTATATATCATTGTTATATTGATAAACAGACGAGTGTATTTCTATCATGATATATTTATAGTTTTGGGACTTGTAATGTATTCTGAAAATGTGATACTACATGTAGTTACATTTGTCACCATTCCTTTTATGTCTGCTTTTGTTCTACACTAAATAATATATCATTGTGAATTTTACCTAATTATTGATTGTGATTGTAAGTTTATTTGGACTGCTTTGTCTGTGCTTGTAAAATGCTCTCCATGCTTTGCATACTCTAAGGGAGAACATAACTGTTGTATATTTTACTCTAACACTTGGGTGGGAGGCTATGTGTAAATGTTGTATTGGCTGTATTGAACACAGGTTGAGTTATTATGTTATGTCAGTCAGCAGTAAAGAAAAGCTAAGCAGACCTTGAGTTTGATACATGCACAGAGAAGCTTGGAGGTTTTCAGGGCTGAGGCATGCAGCATATGCCACAGATATTTCACTGAATTAGACTGTGTCCCAGAAACAGCTTCAACTATCCAAAACTGAGCATCAATTAGACCTGCACCTGTATATCGACTACTGGCCTAATGCTGCTATGGTTCAAGTGAGTACATACAGTGCATGGTCCACACCTCAGACAATTATTTCTGTCCTTATTATCAATATAAACGAGAGGAAGCTAATAAGATGTTTGGCATTTTCAAGCTCCAAACAGCCTGCAGGGATTTAGAAACTGCTCAGTACCAGTGTACTGAGCAGTTTCTAAATCTGCTCAGGCGAATTTGATCTCCATCAACTTAATATTTCATATGGTCCATGGTGAAGAGAAGGTGATCGCTGGATCACCATCATCCCAGCGGCCGTCGCATGTACTACATGACTTGCAGTGCTAGAGGGCAGGCGCTCACAAACATTTTGTCCAACTTTCCAATCAGTTTTGCACATGAACCTACTCATAGCAGCAATGAAACATGGCGTTAGTTTGCGCAGTTGTCCCTCCACCACCACAATGTCCTCTTGACACAGAAGCTTTAATATTCTCGTGCTAAACTCCTGTTTTTGGGGGGATCAGCTCTCTCAGCTCAGATTAACTAAGAGCTCCCACAAACATGAAACATGACATGAAGTTGCATATGTATTGCTGTGTATTAACTTTTATTGTATTTTTGTATTTGTCTGTTTTTATTTAGAATACTATGGACCTTTGTTGTCTACTTCATTAAGTAATTATTGTTATTATTAAACAGCAGAGCCTTTCCCATCAAAACTAACTATATAACCATTTGCATTAAATGGTATATTCGTTGATCCAAGTGTCTCCGACTGAACTTTAGCTTTTTTGTTTTGCCTAATGTACAGTTGAAAGTGAAGGTAGAGCACAGGCCCATCTAGATATCCGTTTTCTGCCGATAACCTGGGTTCAGTGTCAAACACAGTGTTCTTTTTTTTTTTTGTGAATCAAGCAATGGTTTTTAAATTATGTTCATACCCAAAACCAGAAAGTCATTATATCATTAAGCATTCTATTTGGTGTCTAGATCCAATGCCCTAATCCACTGTTGGTCTACTAAATCAGGCTGTTTGCATACACTGCTCCTATCTGTCACTATAACATGTATGTAGTCCACAAAATGAATTCATATGTAATCCATGTGATTGTAAAGCTACAGACACAGCATAGGGAGGTCTGCGCTTTTCCCCAGGTTTAGGGTAAACGTCCCGTGTGAAACCAGAAGTCAACTTTGACTTATTTGTCCTGTAACTTCCGTACTTAAATAACCCCACCTCTGTAGTTATTTTAACCCAAACCACGATTGTTTCCTCAATGTAACTGAGTAGTTTTGTTGCATAAAACTAATCAAGTTGTTTCCTGTGAGGTGAACAACTTGTTTGTTTATTTTGAAAAGACTTTCTGCATGTAACAGGCCAAAATTGACACCCGCTGCTGGACATTCGTAAGAGAACGCACAAAAGAAATCTGGAATAACTTTTCGTAAAATATCATACGAGGGTATGTCGACGAAACAGACTGTGAGAGTGTTGTTGCAATTAAATTCATTAATAATTACATTATCTCAATGAGGGTTCAGTAAAATGGCAAGGATAGAATGCACACAGAGTCCAGTGAACTGGCTGTATTCTGGTCTGGGTTTGTAACACATAGTATTACTCTGTGAGACTCGCTCAGTCATATCTGGGGCTCCCTGCTGTCAAATAGGTCTATTAGCTTTTCCTTATGCTCAGCACCTTTAGCAAGAGCTTCATTTCCTCTTTGTTTTTCTCTGTGCAGTCATTTAAAAAAAAGCCTCACTGACACTTTCCACATGAAAAAGTCTTCCCTCAGGCCATCTGACCGGGAACTAAGAGTCGGAACAGAAATACAACCGGAACTATTATGACTACTATTTTTTTGTCATAATAATAATAATAATAATAAATTAAAGCTGCGAGCAGCGATAAATGGGCCCTTGCATCCTCCAGCGTGTCGGGGGTGGCGGCAGGACTCCGGCCTGCGCGGCCGAGAAACATCTGCGAGCGAGACGTTTTTAATCCCGCGTGGACTGCCTGATGCTGGAAATGATGCTTTGCAAATAGTCCGATGCTTCCTGTTTCCGCTGCCTAACACGTGCAAACATGCATCATGTAGCTCTGTGTCAAATGTAAACCACATTGTGTAAAAGTCATGTAAATCTGATGCCGTTTGTCACAAACTGCAGATTTCCTTTCGCCAGCAGGTGGCGCTGTGAGTATTAGTGAAAATTAGCTTGTAGACATCCTCAGGCCATGAGTGTTATCAAGCATGAGAAGTTTGGGACCATTTGGAACAAGTCCAGCTGAGTTACATCAGACATTTCCTTTAGCCAGTAGGCTTCGCGGGTTTACTGTAGTGCCCCCTAGTGGTCGAATGCAAAACAATTCTCAGGGTATGTTACTGGATGTGATGTGCACATATGCTGAATATTTTAGGAATTTAGAACAAATGGTTGAGAAGTTATGTGTATTGATATTTTGCCACGCACCTAAGAAGTGTATTGGTCCATATCTTGTAAACGCAAAGAGATATCAAAAAGATTTTGATAACTTTTGATGATCTAGATCCACTTATGATCCACAGCAAATTTCGTAGAAATCGGACCCAGCGCGTAGGAGTTTGCAAAAATGTGTTTTTTTTCACTAAATTCAAAATGGCTGACTTCCGGTTGGGTTTAGAGCTTAGAGCTCCGGGGGCTTTTTTGTAAGTCTACATGTGATACATCTGTTTACCAAATGTTATACATCTAAATTTTATATATAGATAGTGAAACGTACTGCGAGGGCTGCATCGTCGAAATATTGTATAAATTCATACAAAATTGAAAATGGCCCACTTCCGGTAGGGTTTAGAGCATGGTCCCAAGAGACTTATCTTTATGTCTCCACACATGTATCCATAGGATACATGTGCCTACCAAGTTTCATACATGTAGCCAAAACGTAGCGCTAGGGCTGCTCTTTTGAAATATTGTAGGGGGCGCTATAGAGGCAATTTAAAACGGCCAATAAAAATAATCATATAAACTATTTCTTCCAATGACCTGTGACACATGTACAAAGTTCCATGAGTTTTTGAGCATCCCAACCCACTAAACCATCAGCTTCCTTTTTCATGGCAAACGATGCGTCGCCATGGCAACAGGGTTCAACGAAAACTCACAAAATTCATGATGATCCATCATCAATGTCTTAAGGTTATCCTTACCTAATTTTAGACTCATCAGATCACCTGGCTATGAGAAATAAATAAAAGTATAAAATATGACATTTCCTTTAGCCACTAGGCGGCGCTATGAGTTATTGAATTTATTTCAATTGAAGTATGTTTAGGCTTGAAGTAGCATCATGCAGAAGAAGTTTTGTGCAGAATGGATAATGTACCTTGGAGTTTTAACAACTTACAAGAACTTATGTTTTGATAAACAATGAGGCAAAATGGCCGCCACGCCACGTCCTTCGATGAAAACTCTCGATTTTGATAACTTTTAATCACAAAGGTCTTAAGAGCATCCTGACCAAAGTAGAAGTTGATCGCTTAAAATCTCTAGGAGGAGTTTGTTAAAGTGCGAAGGCTGAAAAATGCAAAAAGTGACAAATAAGTGACAAAAAAGCACAACTTCACGGGCTTACTGTAGCACCCCCTAGTGGTTGACTGCAAAACAATTCTCAGGGTATGTTACAGGATACGATGTGCTGCAAGTTTTGTAATTTTAGGACAAACGGTTGAGAGGTTATGTGTATTGATATTAAGCCACGCCCCTAAGAAGTTTATTGGTCCATATCGTGTAAACGAAAAGAGTTATCAAAAAGCTTTTGATAACTTTTGATGACGTATATCCAGTAATGATCCACAGCCAATTTGGTAGTAATTGGACCCAGCATGTAGGAGGAGTTTGCAAAAATGTGTTTTACACTAAATTCAATATGGTGGAAAATCTAAGTAGGCGGAGCTTAGGGGTCTGATTGGCTTTTTTGTAGATCTATCTCAAGTGGACATGTGTGTTGAATTTCAAGTAAATCAGACATACTGGCCGAGGGGCGTCGCCGGTCCGACTTGTAGGGGGCGCTAGAGAGCCATTTCTTTACACAGAAAGATGCATTCTTTTTCAAAAGGCTACTTTTACCAGGCCTGACAAGTCCCCAAAATTTGGTGAGTTTTCATGCATGGCAAGTCCTCCAACCATGCGTACGTTTACCCAAACGGGTACAATTTCAATAGGGCCTTCGCTGGCCTGACGTTGTCGGTTGCTCGGGCCCTAATAATAATGTTGCATTAAGGTCAGGTTCTTGGTCAAAACTATATAATATTACAGACATGAATAATCCCAGCCACTGATGAATTGTGATGTTTCAATGGCTACTTTTGCTTTTGAGTGTTTATCTTCTACCTTTATGGTTTGAAAATATACTATTTAATTTGTATTGCTGCCATCAATGAGTTCTAACCTGCAACATTTTGGCAAAGATTGATTTGAGTTTTTTGCTCATTTAGGTTTAGTGGTTTGTTTATTCAAAGGGCAGAGTATATGAAACTTCAGCCCGACTATACAGCATTTACTGCATTCTGTAAATGTCTACTGCAGCTGTTCCCAACCACTAAGCAGCAAAGCATTTACTACCACGGCGAGAAGATATGGCAAAAAACAACAACAACAAAAAAACCATAATATGTAACATTATACGCTATTTCTGCAGTAATTGCCTGAAACTTACAGGTGCTCGCCTCCTTTTGTGTGCAAGGGATCAAGCTGGAGGTGCAGGGAACATGTCGTTTTTGAAAGACTAAACCAACATATATGGATTGAAGCAGAATATTTCATTGGATAAAGTCATGTTGTGACTTTTGTAAATGATAACACTTGTCTTTTTTTTCCAATAAATTCTTATCTTACAAATCCTTCTGCTCCCGTGTCTCTCTGCGCTTGGGTCCATCCCCTACCAGTCTTTGCCTTAACCCTAACATCACATACAGTTTGTACATTACTAAGATAAGATACCGTACCTCATTATTGGCGAGCTGGAACCACGGCTGTTTGCCGTAAGTGAAGATCTCCCAGAGGATGACTCCAAAGCTCCAAACGTCACTCTCTGTGGTGAACTTCCTGTACATGATGCTCTCTGGAGGCATCCAGCGGATAGGCAGCATGGTGTGACCTCCCACCTGAACACACACATAGAAGAAAGAGGTTTTAGAAATGAGCATGAAATGTGTATGATAAAGTGTGTGATGAATATCTTACCCTTGATGCCTTTGGGGGATGATTTCGCCATCATTGAAACGCCACAATTATTAAGGGACACACACAAATTAGTCAAACTTACATGTGGTCACTTGCTCATACAATGCCATTATTTTGCAAGTCACAAGCAAATATTATATATTGACAATCCCAGGTTTACAATTTGGAATCAACTTTGGGATTTATAATGGAAAATCCCATTTTATTACATTTTTCTGGAAAAATAAACTGTATTCATCAAAGTAATTGACCTGATCTCTTTACCTCTAAGCAAAGGTAAAAATAGTGCCTATTGTTACATTGTCCCAAAATGTGTTTGGGAGGACGTCCAACCCTGTCTTGTTTGTATGCTACTGCTTTGTTTTGAGGGCAATGTCTTCAATTATACTGTTCTTTTTGTCCTGGATTCTGTAGGTCCAGACCAATCCATCCATAGAAGCCACGCCCATTTGGCTGCACTTCTGGTGGCCAAGCAATCACTCCGAACGTGCACTGACCTACTTAGACAAAGCATGCAGTTCATATGCGTGATTCTAACAGAGTTTTAGTGAACTTCTAGAAACTGTGCTCCTGTACTCACTCACTGACCTCCCTCCACCAAGCTACATTCACAATTAACATTCTTAAAACTGTATAAAGCGAAACAATGAAATTTAAAAGCATTGTTCTCTGGCTTGCAGCTACAAATCAATAGCACATGGACCCTGTGACATTTCATTATTAGTTTGTAAATACAAAACTCTACACACAATGATGATAATGAGGATCCAATAAAAACAATACAGCCTACTGAGTTATAACATACAGCATGTCACTTCCTGTGGATTCTGTCATTGGGTGGACTTTTCCTCTAATCAAACATGAGTAATAATGAGGATATGAGAAGACGAGCGGCCCAGAAGGTCTTCTCTATTATCCGACAGCGTATACATCAGACAGACTGAATCATTATTCATCTGCTCCTGCCTGCTCTCCAACTGCTGTGGAATCATAAAGCAGCTTGACTAATTTAGTCAAATATGTGCCTCCTAATCACGACTCACATAATGAATGACCTCCAGTGTGCCGCTGACTAATCGACCTTCCTGCACCCCTCCCCTCCTCCCTCCTCTGTCTGATTTCCCCGACTCTTCCTCCTATCCTGCCATCCTTTACTTGTTTCTCCATCATAAATTAGTAATTTCTTCAATATTCAATAAGCACTTTTACAACTTTAATTGAATCTGTTATTAGTGATCATTACTGTGTGTAACCTGTTCTAGCCCTTTTCTCTCATCATTAACAAACACTGACTTGAATACTTGTATAATTGTTCCAGGCATGAGGAATTCAAGGGGTAAAGCTGTGTCTTCATTTAATCCATTTCCATGAAAAAATTTAATTCATTTTTTGAATGATTGCTCTTTGAGTAACAGCTCATTCACTCTTGAGATAATGCTTCTGCAGTATTTCAGTTTTGTCAACAGAAAAGTATTATCATCATTCATCATCAATCATTATTGGAGTGAATGAAGAGCGGCAGCCTAACCACGTGACATTACCGTGCATTGATTTTGCTTAATTACAATTTCACTTGACGTTGAAGTTTTGGTGGTGGATATAGACACACCCCTATAAACTATAGAGAACGCTGTAAAACGTTTGTACTTCACATTGGACATTAATCCCATCCTGTGTTCCAATGGTGACAAGTAGTTACTCTCTCACCAAGAGAGTATCAAACATTCAGAATATCTGATGATCCATAAGCTCACTGTGTTACCATAATCCATATTTTAACTATATTATATAGCTCAATACAAAGTGTCCGTCTCAGTCCAGGAGGTGCTCTTCCATAAACCTTTTTCATGGCTCTCTTTTCTACATGTCATAGTAGTGTAATTATTCAAATAATGATGGCTGCATCCCAGTACTAGGACTCTGGTCTCGTGCATGCTGACTCACTATCATGGCTCATTGCTGGCTGTTCTCATTCACTGTTTGTACTTATACCTACAAAAAGTAATGCAATAACTTAATCGTGAGCCAGGGCGAGCAGGGCTGCCACCAAGGAAGACAGGGGGATGTAGTATAAAGAGAGGCAAAGTCTGTGTAGGGGGTGGATGGATTAGTCAAAGACACACAGGACTTTCATTTGCACTCCATTATTTTCAAAATGTCTTTCCAGAAGATGATTCTGGGACTGCACTTTTCTGTAAATTTTCAAAGCTCTGCATTAATCACATTCATTCAAAGGCTTCATGTTCTCAGGCTTCATGTTCAAGCCCAGGGTTACTGATCGCCTTGGGCCTGAGTTTAATCATTCTCTGGTTCCAGCTTTTACTTTTTTTTTATGTGACCGTAAACTCAATATCTATGGGTTTTTGGACAGTTTGTCAAAGAAAATAAGAAACACGAAGAAGTCACCTTGGGTTCGTTGAAATTGTGATTGACATTCTTCACAATTTAAGTAGGTAAATCATCAATATTCAGAACAATATTTCAAAATTGAGCTGCCAGAAGGGAAGAGATAGATGGAGATATGTGCACTGCAGCTTTGGTTTTGTTACATTGTAAAGTCTGGGAAGCAGGGTACAGCCGTGAGCATGCAGCACAGAGGTGCGTGCGCTCCATCTGACCCTGAAGTCCTGTATGCTTCGGTGCAATCTGCTCAGTCTGAGCTGCAGACAGAGTTCCCAGAGTTCTGTTTGACTGCAGGCAAACAATCTGCACAGGGAGGAGGATCACTGTAGGAAAATGATATCCTCTGTCACTTTGGCTGTCTGAGTTTGAATTGTAGACAGCTGATGCATGTTAATCAGACAGTGATTCTGTCCTCTCAGACAGAGTACAGCTGGGAGGATATGTGGCCTTGTGTCTGGAAAAGGAAATGTTTGGCTTACTTGCCAAGAGATTAACTAAATATAAAAAATACCAATAAAAACAGGAAATTGTGGAAGCTACATTTCTCAAAGGCTCAAAGTCAACAATGGATGAGTCAACAAAACAACTTTAGTCTGAAACAACTTTAAAGGTGCGTTCACACCAAACGCAGCGCGAATTATTTGCGCGACTAGATTACATACAAAGTCTATGCACAGACGCGATGAGACTGGAGTGACGTGAACTTGCGTCATTCGGCAAAACGCCCCAAACGTGTGAGTTGAAATTTTTCAACTTCGGTGAAAAAATGGCGTGACGCTGTGGCGTGATGTTTCTCCTGTCATCACTGACGTCCTGCCGTTGTTGAATCAGGAAATAAATACTGTAGCCGTCTGTGTTCACCCAGAGCTCTACGATACCTCATATCAATAGAGACCGGACCAAACTATGTGTATGAATGTGTGTGTGTAAACCTTGCAGAGAGAACTAACTAAACATGAATTCAGACTTTTTACAAATCGGCATCATTACGTAGTTATTTCGGAGTCCCTTTTTGTCGGTTTATTGCCGTTAAATCACAGCCTAATCAGTTTATTTTGTGTTCATACAGCTGTAGTAAACAGCCGACATGTGGCTCGCTAGACACAGTGAATACAGCTCGATAAAATCCATGGAGCTCCTCTGGACTATGTTATGAACCCAGACATGACGGCGTTTAGTTTCCCGGGATATCTAGGACTTCCACAACACGTACTAAGCAGAAATATAGGTTATTTTTTCCATGGTTAATGGGGGACAGTTGAACGGCTTCCAGGGCGATAAACCACGCCCCCTCTCCGGCGCATCTAGTGCGATTCACGCGAATGAACACAAATGGTCCCCGGCGAGACCGGCTGCGCGAATGACGTGATTAACGCGGCGCGAATAATTTGCGTCACGTTTGGTGTGAACACGGCATAAGACTGATGTTTGTAACAGTCAATGTTGGTTTCTCGTTAACCGTGACCATGATCATTCCATAACCTCAACCAAGTGTTTATTATTGCAACCAAGATGACGAAGGTCCTGCGACCTTAACAAAATAGTAATTTTATCCCAAACCAAGATGTTTCTCTAAGTTTAAAGCTGCACTGTGTAATGCCTAGCCACATGCCCCAAATCCAAGTACTAACTAACAACAAATTCAACTTAATAAACAACATGCTGCATTAAGGTGAAGGTTGGTGAGTGCACATGAGCAACATAAACAAGGGAGTGAACAAGTTCACTGCTGATAAGGGTCAAAATTTAAAGAGTCAGTTAGCCGTTGCTGCTGCTGTCTACCAGTGGGCCCCGCTGAGACATTGGATCAGCCATTAAAAAGAAAGCAGTCCACAGAAGCTACTTAGGGGGATGGGAGTCGATGGAGTCATTGGCATTTACTGCCAAATACAAATTATTTCCCACCATGCCAATTAACATGCTGAGAGAGTCTCCTGAAAATCCCTATGAGCCGCTGTTGCAAGCATCTATGAAGACAAACCTCTTCTGCACAGGCAGGACACGTAAAAGGCGGTTTCTCTATCTGGGACCCACATGATCGTTTTCAACATCTCACCCAACATTTAGAGAAGCTACGAAGTTACTCATAATGTGATGGCCATTTAAGTTATAGCAGCCTCCCTTCCTGCAGCTATTGCACACTGGTAGAACGCAATCAGTCGTCCATCCTCCATCTGTCCACTACTGACATTTTGAGAACAAAAGTTAGGTCGTCCAAAACCACAATGAAAACCTCCAAAGGTGAGTCTGGTTAGGTGAGGTCATGTAATTCTCCACTACATCTAACCAAAAGCACAACACATGTATTGGATAGTGAAGAAGGCATCCAATAAAGGCCAAGGAACTAAATATGTCGCGTGTCAGTTTCCGCTTGTTACTGCTTGTTGCATGCATGGTGTCTTTTCTAAAGTAAATTCAGAGTTCACAAACTTAGTTTCAGCCTTTTACATGCAACTGTTTTTTCTAAATAAACTTCAAATGCAGGTTTACTTGCGCAACAAAAGTACTTAGTTAGGTTTAGGCCACAAAAGTACCTGATTAGACTTAGGAAAATGTTGTGGTTTGGGTTAAAATAAGTATCCTACTTTTGTTTGGTAAAATGTTTACCTTTTTAACATAACTGGCATTAGTTAAGTACGAAGCTTGCATTACCAAACTAAGGTAAAATATGTCAATGGGACACAAACAGCAGCCTCCTTTGTTGAATTTCTTTGAGTGTTTGACCCATCCGTCCACAGCTGCAATCCGCCATACGGAGCTTTTCTCCCGCTATATACTACGTCGGTTGCTCTGACCATCTAAAAATTACGAGTGGGGTATGGATGGGTTTAAAATGGAGTTGGTCGGAAGCCTGGTTAATCTCATACAGACACTTAAGGGTAACTGGGTTACATTGATGTCAGATGCTGAGCGGCACGGTTGGCAGTTAGAACGGGTTGGTTTTGGACGTCCAGGTTCACAAATACACACAATTAAAATTGACTGTGTTTGGTTCTCACTGAGAAGCTATTTTTGGTTGCACAAATAACCCTAGCACCAAGCTCTTGAGCTAAGCCTTACTGCTGCTGTCTTCTCCTACAGTTTGACACTGGCGAATTCATTTAGCAAACGCAATCAAACTTTGTTGTGTCAGTGGCCACGGTATAAATTTGACTATATTCAGCGTGCAAATTTGTGAAAGTTGAGGCTGACATCAGAGGGAACACAGTATCCCAAGATGAATAGGTTCATCTTCTGGGAGCAGGGATGTGCTTAGTTCATTCCATTGCCTAAAATTGGCCCTGTGTAAATGAGACATGCATACTGTGTACCGCAATTACTTTTTCAATTGGGGTAAATACACAGGGAGAAAAAAAAAGGTGTGTTTGCATGAAACAAACGTCTCTTACCCTGTAATAATCTGTGCTGTAAATGTCTCTAGACATGCCAAAGTCTCCTATTTTCACCAGAAGTCCATTCCCAACCAGGCAGTTCCTGGTTGCCAGATCGCGGTGCACAAAGTGTTGAGACGCCAAGTAGATCATCCCAGCTGCGATCTGACTGGCTATGTGAAGCATCTGGGACAGACCCAGCTCCCCATTGGTCTGCAGAGGCTGTCCATCCACCAGGATCATAGCGTCTGGCCCGTGGGCTCTGAGGAGGAAGTTACAGAGTGAGTTAGAAGCTCAGGAAATATCTCACAATCAAACATTTTACATGCGAGACAACCCTAACATCAGTGGGTGTCATGTAGCTTAGCATTTTTGTAGTGAAGTGACTCACTGCTGATTTTGCACATTGTAGCTCATTAAATCCAAACTTTGTACATTGCACAACTGCTGGCCTACATACAACCAATTTCATTTCCTTCTGGGGCAGAACATTTTAAGCCCAAAATTATGTAAAAATTAGCTCGAGTGGGTTGACAAAAATGTTGGCCTGGTTTGTCATAGTGCCAATATTATTTTCGAACTAACCTGGCAACACAGAGTGGCTAAAAGGCTACCTGACCAGGCTGCTTAACCACCAGAGTGCCGCCTCCAGCTTCTAGCTAAGACCACCAACAATGGCTAAAATAGATAGAGAATCTGTGTAAAAAGTATTGCGATGTGAGATTACAGGAATGTTTAAAGTAATATCTTTCATATTCATGAATTTGAATGTCTGAACGTCCCTGAACAAAACACTGTGGAAAAAAGTGATCCTTTTAGATAACAATATTTCCCAAAGGAACACATGGAACAATGAATCTCCATGCTCAGTTATTCTCCATTTGTATTTTTGCTCGTATCTGCTATATTAATGCTAATCCCATGAATGCTTGCTGATTACATTCGCTGTTGTGTGTTGTACTTTTTCCACTGTCAAATATCCTGCTCAATACATACACATACATATAGTTTTGTAATCTAATACCCAAAAATTAATTATTCTTCACAAACTTGTTTTTTAATGTTATGTCACTGGCCAAGATGTTTTTATAGTATTTATTTAACTCTAATACTGATATTGGAATAACACTCAGGTCCATTTAGCTGTTACATCAAGTATATCTAATTAGTAAGCCCAAAGGCTAAAACATGCAAAATCTCCAGTTTGGCCCATTTAAAGAGGGGATGCCAATGAAGTGAAAGCTTGTTGTGTATGGGACACATCAACAACCTTGGTACCCTTACTGGTATTCAGCATGCTGAAGTGCTTCAGACTCTTAGTACAACTGATGGTATACAGTGCTGTCCTACTGGTTCAGTACTAGAGATGCAAATTTAGAATTTATTGTTTCAGACCAATAGCCGACCCTCGATCATCAACTTTCAACAGACAAGATTTGTGTCTCGCATGCTGTATTTGAAGTGCCGAAGAAGCCGTCCAGCTGCATCGATAACTTGGTGGACCATCCATCATTTACCAGCAGCAGTGCAAAACAGGCAACAGAGTCCCCAAATCAGCCATCTGGGAGAGTAAGCAGCCACGATGCTGCGAGCATTGTCGAGGACACATGCAGCCACTTTTCCAGTAAGTCTCCCTGAATGAATTAGTCCAGTTTGTGAGGTTGTCAGCTCTTGTGTCCGCTTTGCATTCTCTTTTTCCGCCAGTGTATTGCAAGACCGAGCGGCCTGCCTTGTGTGTGTGTGTGTGTGTGTGTGTGTGTGGTGGTAAGTAGGAAGTCAGCGTCAACATTACAGCTGTGCATGCAAAAGTGTGCTGTGTGTACAGTTGGTTTGTCGGTGAATAAATGCTACAACTCCTCGGGACCCAAGTTCCTGAGTCTTGCTTGTCAACTGCTGTTCAAATTGTAGGCAGTTACCGCCTGTTGTGAACGCCAACTCCAGCCCAGGCTCATGTTAGGGCCCGATCACACCGAGACGCGTTGCAACAGACACGCTGCTTCAAAAACGCCCCTTTGGCAAAGTGAGTGGGGCAAAACAGCTGATGTGTTGGGGGGGTTGGGTGCACAACCAGGCGATAACATGTAAATAACGGGGGGGGATGGATTCAATGCAGAAATCGAGCTCTTGCTGTTGCATGAGGAGAAAACATTTTCTTTATAGTTCATTGTAGTTAAAAACTGCCAATATCAACCTTTGGTCTGCCTTTATCCGTTCCCATATCCACCGGCATCTAAAACAGGAAGTAGCAAAGCCCGCCTCTTGCTCGATTTGATTGGCTGCCTGACGACGTTGATGAGCGTTAAGCGGTGCAAGAAACGAGACTTATCAGAACAATGGTTTTGCGGGCTACATGTTTCTAGACACGTGTCTTTGTGTGTTCGGGGTCTGAGGTGGTCCAACCTTTAACTTGGACCAGCTATTCTCAGTTTAGTGAGCCGCTCCGCTTGTTTTGCCTGTTAATATACATTTTTAACTGATTGCATTAATTTGTCAAAATTCTTATTGTTGGTTAACGGTTAATTATTTATATCTGGATCCAGTGGATTTGCATACATTTACAAAATGTCCACTACATGATGGTTCAACAAAAAAAGAAAGTCAGTGACACTTCTGAGTTGTGACTCTGCATCAACGATGCAGCGCAGCGATCACCGTTATCTTCCAACAATATTTTAGTGCCGTTTTTGAGGGAGCGATGAGGTTCAGTGACTCAGGAAGGACAGAGTGTGAGTTGTGTTTAGTTAATACAAAGTGTACCCAGTAGTCAACCTGTATCTGTGTGTGTGTCTTTTCAGCTTCACTGAGTTTTAAGTCTCTAATGGAGGAAGTGATGCCAATGAAGTGTGTGTGTGTGTGTGTGTGTGTGGTTTGGAGGGCAACGGGTGCTGGCTAAATTAGCAGTATGTCCTGAAAGAATTGATGCCAGCACTTTAATGGAAACACAATTACTGAGTCGAAATTAGCATCCGAGGCACAAAGAGACTCGCTGAAATGCTGTCCCATACAAGCATGCACGCACGCACACACAGTCACACAGACACATAGTGAGAGTCACACATAAGCACTGGTAGACTTTGCTTCCTGGCGGCGGACTAAGTACCAATGTTCTATTCTGCGGGGCAAAGCATCCTGGGAGCCAATAACATCTAATCACAGCAGACATAATGCAGCTCATTAGCTTACCAACCGCAATTTACAATTTGGGCATTTAGCTTGTGCTTTTATCCAGAGCAGCTGCAGGTAGAGAGGGGCTGCAGAGTCGGACTCAGCTTGGAACCTTCTTGTCAAGAGATAAGTGAGGAAGGGACCCGAGGAACAAAAAAAGAAAAAAAGTATTAGCAATGGCTCCCAAATTTACAGCGTGTCATGTTTTCCCATTCATGCATTCTTTATATTTGGTAATGGCTCTTCAAATATTATTTTAATCCAGTGCATTCGTTGATTGATTATAGAGAGTAATCCATTTTATATTACAATCAAGAAATTTGAACTGATGTTTCAATAGAATGGCACATCTGGTGATGGATGCTCAGCTGCTCACTCGACCAAAACTCTTTTCTCACAGAAACTGTGTTACGAGACAATTTTGCCTCATGCAAGTTTGGGGCAATTATGTTCACGGGCAATATTTTTTACCGGTCCACGATGTGCTGCATTCGCCTACCTCACACAGGTGTGTGTGTGGTGCATGGTGGGTAAACAAAGTTCAGGAATCTGACACCAGAGATGAGGCTCGGTCCCTGCATCCTATGAGTGGTTAAGTAAAAGGTTTAAGGTTTAGTTGATTATTCATAAAGTAAACACTTGTGTCACTGTGCAGTTTTTCAATATATAACCAAGACTTCCATCTTAAAAGCTGCAATGTGTAATCCCTGGCCACATGCTCCAAACAAGTAAATAGGGGGCAGCATTTCACCCCTACTACTGGGTCCATACCATCGAAATTGCAAGTCATCAGTCCCAAAGCGTGTTTCCGAAGCATCCCAGAAGCTTCTCTCGGCTCTGCTTGGCTAAAAAAAGTATATTTTTGATGGGGCCATGGGGGGGGGGGGG